TTCCTTCCTTTTTCCTTCCTTCCTTCCTTCCTTCCTTCCTTCCTTCCTTCCTACCTACCTACCTACCTACCTACCTACCTACCTACCTACCATCTTACCTTTCTACTTACCACCTACCTACCATAGGTAGAAGAGGAAGAATGATTTATTTGGATAAGTAGTCCTACCTTCCTACCTACCTATCTTCCTACCTACCAGCTACCTATCTACCATAGGTAGAAGAAGAAGATTGACCTGTTTGGGTAGACTGTCTTCCCTCCCTCCCTTCCTGACAGAGCATCCTATTGAACTCAAAAGCTTGCACAGCGTTCTGTGTCCTTGGCACAGTAAATACATCTTCTTAATTCATTTATTCATTTCAGTTGATTTTTATATATAGATTCATGAAGAAAGAAAAAAGATTCAGACTGAAGCCCCATTGCTGCTCTCTGAAAGAAGAGAGATTGGATAATCATTTGTCTGAAGTGGTGTAGGGTTTCCTGCCTAAGCATGGGGTTGGACTAGAAGACCTCCAAGGTCCCTTCCAACTCTGCTATTCTATTCTATTCTATTCCTCCAGATTCTGGGCCTTTTCCCACATGCACAAAAGCCTAGCATAAGCATGACTTGGGAATCTGATTCTCCCCCTCCTGCCCTGTCCTCATGATGTTATCTTTCATCTTATCCACAGTCCATGAATGTGACACAGCGTAGGCCACGCTTAGCTGAATCGGGAGAATTTTAAGCTTTTTTTCTGATACTATCAAGGACCTTCTTAAGGTGTTTAAAATTGTTTAAACTTCGTCACCCATTCTTTGCAGGGAAGTCGAAGGTGTGGCACTGGCTCAAAAGAGAGGTCATAGAAGCAAAATAGTGCTTCTCCAAAAGGAAACTGGACTTCCTTGGGGTTTTTCCCCCTGGAAAACATTTTGCTTCTCGCCCAAGAAGGTTCTTCAGTTCTCAGAGCTGAGAATCTCAGAAGAGAGCTGGAAGGGACCTTGGAGGTCTTCTAGTCCAGCCCGCTGCTCAAGCAGGAGAACCTATACCATTTCAGACAGGTGACTGTCCAGTCTCTTCTTAAAAATCTCCAGTGATGGAGCACCCACGATTTCTGGTGGCAAGCTGTTCCACTGGCTAATTGGCCTCACTGTTAGGAAGTTTCTCCTCAATTCCAGGCTGCTTCCCTCTTTGATTAGTTCCCATCCATTTCCTTGTCCTGCCCTCTGGTGCTTGGGAGAATAATTCCCCCCCTCTTCTTC